AGCAAACGAGCAATCATTATTATTTCTTAGCAGTTCTCACGTTGGTTACGTAAACTTTGCATCGTTTTAAGGTTATAAAATAAAAAAATAAAACAAATCGGTAAAGTTACTCACTCTGATTGCTGTCCAAGATACAATAATTTGCAGCATAGTTAAAAGATATTGTTAATGTTATTCCTAATTAAGGCCCTTGGTGAACCTTTACTATGAGTTTGTTTGTAATGATGATTAAATGTGAACATTGTTTAAGTACCACTAAATGCTCCTCAGATCCCTGTAACTTCACAATGAAGTCCAGCAGTCTCTTTACCTTTGCGGTGTGGTCATCGACAGCCTGAATGTGGATTTCCTCTGAGATAGCACTCTGTACACTGGCTGAAGAGCTCCTTGGAGCAAGTTTCTGGCCTCATCAGTCCAGAAGGCAAACCGCTGACCATGCCTTTCAAACATCAACCAGATTAATCTAAAGTACTGCCAAAAGGACAGGCTAATAACACATATTGTGGTGCAACCAAGCAATGAGCCCAGTTTAATTATGAAAGATGATTTATACTTAACTAATATGATAAAACAATGAGTATCAAACAAGTTTTCACACTAATACAGTAAGCTACAGGTACATCTGACACATCTCACATCAGCATGCTTTTATCATCTTTTTAAGTTTAATTAATGTGCTGGCTAGATTTACTTATTGTAGTCATTATGTCAACAAGGTTTAGCTTAATAAAAACCATGGCCACGGATTAAGAACATCGTAATAATCAATAAAACGAGCAATCGGGAATTCATTATTATTTCTTAGCAGTTCTCACGTTGGTTACGTAAACTTTGCATCGTTTTAAGGTTATAAAATAAAACTTAATTGAAAATCGGTAAAGTTTCTCACTCTGATTGCTGTCCATGTCGTCCATCTTTAGTGATCGAATTCGGTAGGTGGCACTGTTACAAAAGAATAGGGTCCTAGAACTGCGGTCCTGAAACTGCGGCCTCCGGTTGTGCAGGAACATACTATTGCCTATTATGGCTTTAAAGTCAGCATGAAACGGAAGTTGCGATTGTCTTTTCTTCTCTACTGTGACGTATATATGAGTGAAACGGCATCTGAAATGAGAGGGCGGGACTTGATTTCGTCCTTTGGGAATTGATTGGATCGTTGGAAGGTGGAGCATTGCAAACAAAATGGAGACAGATCTGAATGCCAGTTTGCAGTTAGTGGTGGGGGATTTCTCTTCACTGGATTCACAGCCGACACCCAAGCATGAATACATTTTTTATTTATTAAGGATGACGACGACGATCAACAGCACAAAACATGCCCAGACAGCGCTCGCCTGAATGACTGAGCACGTCCTCCATCAGGTTAAGTCATATTCATGAAAAAAATTAGTTTGCGATGTCCTAAGGGTAATGTTGCCATAATATCCTAATATCTTTTCAATGTTTAGTGGTAACGTACTCCCTCATGACTGGTGTCAGTGCTACAAAGTGAAGCATCAGCTTCAGCTTTTCCCCCTGTCCTTTAACCCAGTGTTTACCCCTCACGTCACTAGCTCTCCCCCTGCGCCATAGCTCGTGACTGGAAGAGAAGATGAGTCGTTTTGAAGGGGAGGGGAGGTTAACGTTTTTGATTAAAGATTAAAGGGGTCATATGATGCTGCTAAAAAGAACATTATTTTGTGTATTTGGTGTAATGAAAGGTGTTTATGCGGTTTAAAGTAAAAAAACACATATTATTGTGTTATGCAAATCTTCCCACACAGTGAGGTAGATATGTGGGGGCGTGTTAGAACGAGCCGTTTTAGGCGGGTGTGGCTGACTCTTAACTTTTATAAAGAATATCTCTTTGGATTTGAGACTTTAGTCTTTGCAACTTTACAGATCTTCTTTATGCACCAAGAGCTTGTAACACTCCAAAGAGAAAGGAAAAATTGAAATCGCATCATATGACCCCTTTAAGAGATTACATGAATAAAAAAAAATAATAATGAAGTGCACGGATAAATTATTTAAAATAAACACTACAGTATTCCATTAAAAAATAAGAATTTTCTATTTTGATTTCATGGTGACTTTAACTTTAGGGAGACTATCAGTTAATAATAGCTTTAGGAGGTCAATTCACCACATGACTTTAAACTCAATGAAAGGACAAGGATTTTGCAGCACCATTTCAAAAGAAAAAAGAAAAAGCGCTGACCCAGGTAAAGTATTAACCGAGGTTTCGGTTTTTGTCAATAGAGGTCAGTATAAACTTGAAATATTACTGTATATGATTTGACTTGTCTGGGTTTCAGGCACGGAAAGTTTATAGATTTTTTATTATTATTGAAGACTTGAAAAAACCCCCCCGAATAATAACAACAATTGTCATCATCGTCAAATCATAACAATACATTGGGATTGACCGGGTCATTCAGTCTTTCAGTCCAGAGGACGTGCCAAGTCCTTTAGCAAAGCCATTGTTCTTATTGCTTTTAAATTGGTAGAGAGTTCAATTGATTCAAAATACATTTTCATTTCAAATTTGAATCTCAAAAAAAGAGGTTTGCATTTAGAACATTACATTTATGAATGTGATATTTAGCTAACAGAAAAATAAGATTCATGAAGTAAGCATCACCTTTTTTCACATTCATGAAAACCAAACATTACATTTCTATAAGTAAACTCAAAATTAGGATTCACATAACATTTGATAAAATCAAGAATGTCACACCAAAATGATGTGGTATAAGAGCAATTCCAGAATAAATGTAAAGACACAAAAATAAAAACATTTTTAAACCAATTTTCAAAAAAAAAAATAAAAAGAGAGAGATTTGTGTTTATACAGTAAAGTCTTATTATTCCACATTAGATATGAGTGAGGTGTAAAAAGAGATAATTTGATAGGGATTTTCATGATGTTATAATTACAGATTAATAAGAAACTTAAGAAGCCATCTAGTTTGGAAAAAATAACATTAGAGATCAGATTCCACATAGATGAGGGCTTATTGATCAAATTCTTTATCCAATTTATTTTAAACGTGTTGTTTAAAGTGGTGTTAGACAAAAGTGGTGTTAAAGTGGCTTAGACAAAAAAAAATGGTCTAAGTTGGCAAGATCTTTCTTAGGTTTAGGAATTAATGCTATGATACCTTGCATCAACATTGGCGGTAAAGCTTCTTTTTCAAAACTTTCTCTAAAAACCTGAGTTAAAAAGGAAATAAGTTCATCAGCAAATAATTTGTACAACTCAACGGTGAGTCCATCACACCCTGGGGATTTATTGTTTTTCAGACTCTTAATTGCTCTTTGTACTTCCTCGGGATGTAACAATGCTATCACAACAAATTCTATCACTTTCAGATATAACCTTAACATAATTGACTGAGTCTAGAAATGAGGATGTTATCTGCGCAGTAAGTTTATAGTGATGTTCACTTCACTAACTATTACTGGCCAATCAGCTGTGACTCTCTGTGAACTGTGAGCTGGACTTCAGAAACAGTACAATGGGTGAACAGCCTTTTATCGTAGTTTATTTTTGACAGAAATCCAGTCAGCGATTACAGTGTGTGTATGTGGTTAGACACTAAAGATTACTTAGATTAGCTGTATGTAATGTAATGAATTATTCTTTGTGACGGGTCGCACACGTCCAGTGTAGGTCTGAGACTTTGTTAGATTTATTAATTTTCTGTGAAACATTTATTACTTTTATTATTAATTACAAGAAACATGTATTAGCATAACATTTCTTGGTGAGCAAACATCAGTAATATATGTCACTGTATATTTACACTGGAGGTGAAAAGTTTGGAATAATTAAGGTTATTAATGTTTTTGAAAGAAGCCTTTTATGCCCACCAAATATGTTATAATAATACATGTTTCTTAAGCAACAAATATTAGAATGATTTCTGAAAACTCATATGATGCTGAAGACTGGAGCTGCTGAAAATTCAGCTTTGCCATCACAGGAATAAATTCCATTTTAAAATATATGAAAATAGAAAACAGTTATTTTACATTGTAATAATATTTTACAATATTGCAGTTTTTACTGTATTTTTTATCAAATAAATGCAACATTGGTGTGCATAAGAGACGGTTTTCCCCCAAAAAAAATGTCACTGTGAATGTGAACAAAAATGTGAATGTCATTGCATTATACCAATATCAAAGCAAATATGGTTTATTTTAAAGAAAATTGGCACAAGCACTTCTCAAGCAAAACATTTCACAAATGAAAATTTGTTAGTTTTTAAAATGATCAAATCTTTCGATATTTGAAATAATTGAAAGTGGATTTATTATTTTATCCAATGCAATGATGTCTTAAGTGTCTAAAATTTATGTCATTGTATGACACATATTCTGCATATATTATGTACTTATTTGACATATTTTATTGTTTTTAAGTCTGTCTATTGTATTGTATCTGCCAACAGATTATGATGAATGTGCATGCATTTCATTCTGTGATTGTGTTAGGTGCAAGTGGGATGGTGATTACTGAGAGGAGGGGTACGGTGATGCTTATTGGGATTAACCGTCCTGAAGCGCGTAATGCAGTAAATCAAGAGACTGCTCAGAGACTGACTGAGGAGCTGTCGGCTTTTGACCAGGACAACAGCCTTAATGTGGCAGTGCTTTATGGAGTCGGTTAGTTCACTTACACACTGCTATTGATGTGAACTTTGGTGTACTTTGATGGTTAGTGAAAAGAATAAAATATGTCATCTGATTGAGCGGTAAAGCAAAGAAATAGTTTATACATGCACTTTTCCCTGATTCCCATCCTCCCACTCCCTGTTAAAATCTTTGACTAAGTGGGCAGCACATGACTACAAGAGTCCTGTGTTATGTCAAAGCCTGTGATGGCAATATTACCACACTGAAAACAATTATCCTAGGCCATCAAATTGCACACCCTCAATAGAAATAATTTGTTCAATCTGGATCAACCATCTCTGCTCAAATGTCCTAAATCACCTTTATCTCGAGTCAAATGAGAGGTTTTGCTCTCTCTCACACTCTAAACCTAGAGCTCAGACAGAAGACTGTCTGCAGGTGAACTGAACACAGTAGATAACATTACATAGACAGCAACATAAAAAATGTGTGATGACAGTAATTGCTTGAGCTTTGAAGAGGTGAATGAGTGCAAGAGGTAATGATGGCCACACAAGAACTCCCTTATTTCACCAGAACACAGGTTCAGGTCTGTGTTAACATACTATATCTTAGGCATTTAAAAGGACATTAAAATGCAAATTGAGTGCACACAATGTCACATACTGGTCTAGGGTTTACTAGTCCACTAGGAAGCCATTACGAAAATTGCGTCCATGTTCACATTACAGCTAAATTATGAATAATTGCTGTTTTATTGCGTAGTTCAAGCTGTGATATGTTAAAGTACACTGAAGGACTGTTTTAACTGGTAATGTTTCTCTGAAATAAATGATCATTTGAAAGTTTAAAATAACTCTTGCAATTAGCATGTATTCCCTCGTGAGAAAGAAGTGTGCTTAATTGTGGTAAATGGACATTTGTAGTGTACTTTAAAGTATATAAAAAAACCTGTATTGTATAATATCAATTTTGATATAATAAAATAAAAGAACACTTAAGTGTAATTAAAAAAAGAACACTTTAATGATTTTGTTTTTTTTACACAGTGCACTTTTAAATAATGGCAAATTAAAAGTTAAACTTTAAAGTGAACTTTAAATCATTGTTGTGTTTTTGATTTTGACTAATATACCTAAGCACATGTATAATTGATTGTAACTGTAGTGTGTTATTTAACAATACATATACCACTTTATGTATTTGTTGCGGTGTAATTACACAAATAATAAAATTAAAAAAATATACTTATTATACGTTTAAGGGCTGGTTTAGTATTAACTACTTGTGATTATGCATACTTTATCACCATAGTAAATACATGTAACATATTTAACAATGAAACCTTAAAATAAAGTGGTACCTAAAA